ACACATTTACTGAAATTGTATAAATTATGAGTCAACATGAAAAAAAAGTAACTCGTATGTTAACAAGCACTATTACGGAGGGGAGCATAACTTTGAGAAACTTTCATAGTGGATTTATAATTTGATAAACTTCTTTGAACATTACAATCTAGTTGAAAAATTCAAGAAACCAAACTAGTGAGACATGCCTCTCTCTCTCTCTCTATATATATATATATATTTATATATATATGTATATAGATTTTTTTGGCTTTTTTTTTTTTGACAATCAATCACTTTTTTTTAGGCAGGTTTTAATATTGCATCAAAAAAAAAAAAAACAAGAAGAAAAAACTTGGCCTAAACTAAAAGTATGCAAATTTTGATCGTTCGTGATGTTTCCCATCTTAGGTATGTATTAATAAGCCTAGTAACTTAAGACATCTTGAATTAGAACTATACTAGAGACGATGCTTAATTCATGTGAAATAGAAGTAGGATATAATAATCGAATCAATCAAGAATAAAATAAGTGACGCATTTACTGAAATTGTATAAATTATGAGTCAACATGAAAAAAAAGTAACTCGTATGTTAACAAGTACTATTACGGAGGGGAGCATAACTTTTAGAAATTTTCATAGTGGATTTATAATTTGATAAACTTCTTTGAACATTACAATCTAGTTGATTCCCAAAAGTTACCAAACTAGTGAGACATGCCTCTCTCTCTCTCTCTCTATATATATATATATATATTTATATATATATGTATATATATATATATACATACATACATATATATATACATAATGAAGTATTTCAAATTTGACAAAGTCAACATTGGCTCGCAAGGGAAATAAACTTAAATATCAAAATTTATCATATATTATATGTAGAGATCAATTGCAAAATCAATTAAAGAGTTATCAAGGAAGAGATTAGCATTTTTTAAGTATTATTTAAGATTTATACATCTCGTAGAGAGACAGTTTGCATCCGGACTAGTTTGTTGCCATGAGCTCTTCATTAGTCTGAGACGAAAGATTACGAAAAAATTAAGATACACTAGATATTTGATTGTTATAGCAAGACTACAATTAATATGTTTTAAGAGTATTGCACCTTAGAATTAAAAGTCATAAAGTCATGTGACTTCTCTAAAACCTATCAAACATACAACAACACAATAGTCATATAATCAAATAAGATATTATTGAAAACACTAGCATTCATGAATATTCCTTAATGATATATTAGATGCTAACATTAATAAGCAATTGCAACACGACACGAGATTTATTTTCATTGAATCTTAATATGCACATATCCTGGAATTTGTTCCCAAACTTTAACCAATACCTGAACAAGATATAGAGATTGAATAAAAAAATTAAGCAAAAGCTATATCAGAACATGAACTATTAGAAATTAAAATCCACTTCTATGAACAAACTCAAAATTGAGCAAGCCAGAATACCAATTTTAAATAGAATTCAAGACTGAGTTCAATTCTAGATTTAAACCTCCATAAAAAAACTAAATTTGAAAGTGATATTGAGCATAGGAGCAAAAGTGAACATAAGCAATAATTATAATTCAAATTTGGACTTGATTGTGAGCCTAAATTCTCAAAACAAACTGAATATATTCTTTCTGATGAACCCATAACTAATAATAATTCTTGAAAATTAATCTAAATTTCCAAAATATAATAAGAATATAATAAGGTAAGCCCTGAACATGAAAAAGTAAACAAATAATGCCTATAAAAGTTTAGAAATTAGTTGAAGAATCTAATGATCTATAACTCCTAATGAAATTCCTATTCAAATCATCTCTACAAATAAAACTAAAATTAATTTTATTTCTGGTATTTGGCTTCTTGACTTACAAATTCCCAAACTAAGTTTGCGTCAATATATCAATGAATTAGCTAAACAGTTCCATATCTTAAAATTATAAATTCTATTTATATAGTCAAATCTAAGAATCCATAATCTATCACAATTGATATTTTGCCCATTTAGATTAAACTTATTCAAAGAGGTTGTTCATTAATCTAAGAATATCATGTTTGTGTAAGTTTCAACTTTTAATTTTTATTATATCTATTTATCTAGGAATAAGTTACAAATCATCCAAGGGGATTACATTTTCGATGTGACAAGAATCTAATCTTACAAGCTCTAACAGTGTATAATATGAAGGCAGGAGATGAAACAAAGAAGAATGTGGTGTAGGAGAAACATCTTCACTTGGATGTGGCAAAAGTCTCATTTAAAAATACCGCCTTGGACACTCCATCCAGTGTTTAATATATCATTGTTGAGACATGCTATTAGTGATAATGAGCTCTCTTCTTCACTTCCCTTTATATTGAAATAGGAGATAGATGTTTTCTTTAAGCCACTTGAGTTAAAAGCAATGCATCAAAATCAACATGTGGGAAAGAAGTTTTGATTAAATGGAAAAGATTTCCGGATTATGACATTACGTGGGAGCTAAAGGATAATTTAGTCATTTGTTAATTATTATGTGGGGTATAAATAAGGTTTATGTCAATAGTTAAGTTATGTGTGTGATTGTTGTCTTGAATTTAGAGTTAGGGTGTGGGAGAGATCACCTACCTTATGAATTATAAGTGTCTATCCCATATGTATTTGGGGTATGTTCTTTTGTGATGGTGAAGTAAAATATTGTGTTTCTCATAATATCTGTGGCAGCTGTCTCTTTCCTATCACTTTGCTTTCAAGAGTGATGTTTTTATTTCTGGATTTGATCAGATTCCTTGACATTCTACACATACCAAGGGTTCTAAAGAGTATTGAGAGCCAACACCTAGAATGAAAACTTCACGGTGATAGCAATGACAAGGACTTCAAGTATAATGGCCAAGAAGTTATGGCGTTAAAGTTCACTTTATTCATGAAGGCAGCTATGGGATCATTGAATTTGACCAGACTTAAATGAGTTGACTCAATTTGCGAAGGCCTTCATGAGAATGGAGTGTTTCTCTGAGAAGAATATGACTTCCTCCATGTTGTTATGAGTTGCTGATTCAGGACCAAGCAAATAGCAATTCACTCGGGCACACTTTAAGGAGGCATTTGGTCTAAGTATTTGACAATTGTTGTATGATATCAAATATAAAAGGAGTTTTGTAGAAATGGGAAGAAGATGAATCTGACGTATCTGTAATAAGCTCATGAAATAAAAATAAGTAACACTGAATCTTCAATTAATGTCACAATTTCCTATAATTTTTCAATTTTTAAGCATTTTTCAAATGTGTCATATGGTTTAATATGGTTCTTTTTTTCTTGCATGTAATTTCTTAAGAGTTCTTGTAGGAAGTCCTTCATGATTTGGACGGTACATTTATCTTATTACATAAATTAAATTCCATGTGTCTTATTCACATCAATTATAAAATTATAATTATCATATATAATAGTAAATTTATGCTATTTCTTCATGCAAATCACGCGATTGATTAATGTGTTATAACCATCTTCAACCAATTTCTCTTCAACCACAAATCACCTGTCTATAACACTTAGTGGTGACATGTTTTACTTGAGAGTCATGTAGAGGCTCAACAAACTTTAATAAATTTTGGCCAATGAAACCACTTATAACCATCTTTATTATCATAGGCAGAATGCTGAAATGTGTTCACTTTTGTAGCCAATGCTAGGGCTATGCAAAGGAACCAAAATCTCATATTTTATGTTTGTTGTTGCCTTTAAAACCTAGAAATCATTTTTTTTTACCGTCTCAAATAGTTAAGTTCGTTCATGTCATTTGAACCTCATAGCCACTTAATTGTTGTCAAGGTCATTATAGTCATTTAAGGGTTCTTAAATTTAATTAAGCCATTAGTTATGAAGTTTGTTAGTTTGCTATCAGGAACAATTCATAAGAAAAAAACTTCAAGCTAAAATTATTATTGATTAAATGATTGCTGTTCAGCCTTTTTTTATTAGTTTTTTGCTTAGTTCTTAGGACCCTGCTTTATTTAAGAAAATGAAAAAAAAAAATTTAGGTCAAAATTAATATTGATAAGATAGCTTATGAAAGAAGATTCCCATGGCCATGAATGTAAAGTGTTTAATCAGATGTGAGGCCTGACATACTCTCACATTGTGAAATCATTGTTCAAGCTCGAGACTTTAGCTTATTGTTCGTTATCTCCATTACTTTGTTCTTAATCCATCCACATCTATATTTTCATGTTTTTCTTGTCTTTTAAGTTCATCCAACTCTTTTAATTAAAAAAGGCTTGCACATGTCCTATATATTCTATTTATAATTATAAATACCATTAACCTAAAAAATTTTTAAAAAATTTTGAAAGAACCATTTAGGTCTTTCAGGAAAAATTGTTTGGTTGATTCATTCCTGTATCCACCAAACAGGAAAGAAATATCTAAAATTTCTTCACTGATTTACAAAGTTTATATGGGAAAAATCAACTGCACAAAGAATAAAAACTAAGCAAGCTTCTCCAAACAAACCCAGAAAAAAGTAAAGCATCCCTTGTAAAAAATGTAAAAAAAAAACCTAATAATTATGCAAAAGCGCATAAGATACAGAAACGATTTTCCTGTGACATTTCAAGGAAATGAACAAAGATTTAAAATGACTAGATTAATGTAAGTAACAAGTATCGAAGTGTTGCACGTACACATAAACAATACAATGTGCTTCAAATGTACTAAGAGAAGTAGATCAATAAACTATTATTGACAACGGGTAAAGCAAATTAAAAAACAAAAATAATTGAAAATGAAATATATTCCTACAAGAAAATCATGCAATGAGAGATTTAAGATCCTACATTGGGCATATGATGGTCATATTTCCCAATTGTCTAATTGAAAGATAATTTATGATTGTGAAAATTGTGAACTCGAAGCAATGACAAATTTCACAAGAAAACCATAAAAAAAAGGAAAAAAAAAAAGAAACATTGCGCCTCTAAAAAGAACAAAATTCATGAAGTATCTATCATTTACCTCAAATAATGAACGTAGCTCAGAGTCTTCAACATTACTATTGATGTTCCTAACAAATAATGTTCTCGATGGATGCTCGCCAAAAGGGTGCTCGCCAACGATAGCTCCACTACCATTCGAAAGGCCATAATGAGTGATACCATTTGCAAAATATCCATCACTTAAATGTATGCTTGAAATCCCTGAAGTGAGATTCTCCATAGGATCAAGATCCAATTCCATTCCCCCACCACTACCAAAGATATCAAAGTCTTCCAAATCTTCCACTTGGCCAGGCAACTCACTAAGATCAAAGTCTTCTACCACGCCAGCTAGAAGAGCTTCCTCATCATCAGGAAGCATACTTCCAATGACATGAACATTAGAGTCATCCAAGGAACCCTGAACTGAATCCTTATTTACTTCTCTCATCTCAGAAGACACATCATCCATAGACTGAATGGTGAGATCAGCATCTGGAAAGATCACTGAATCAACATACGAGAAGCATAATGTTAACTAGGCATTAGGCAATGTATAAATGAAATAATAATAATAATAATAGTGATAATAAAAATAATAATAATAACTAAATACATTTCTCATGCGGAAGTAGAGGTAATGAGCTTGAAAACAGAGTGACATCATTTGATCCTTTGAACATATTAGATCCTGATGGAACAGGCCATGCATTACTTCCAATCTTTTGACCAATCTTCAGAGATGGAACATTTGACGGACCTGTTTCATTCAAGCAATATAATTGGAAACCATATCAATCCAGAGCAAAAGGTAGACAAATAGGGGGTTCTTTGCGATAGCAGACCTGCATTATCTGAAACATCTGAGGATTTTTCCATCTCTTTAATTCTGCAATTTAGGAAGCACAATTACAAACAATAAATAAATAGCAATTCTCCAATTCTCTCTTCATTTTAAAACGAGAAGCAAATGAAAACCAGTTGGTATTGAGATAAATTGAAATTAGTTAAAAAATCAAGGAAAATTAAAAGATGCCAGCCAATTTCCGCTATAAACTGACTATGCATATCGCAACTGAGAAAATATTGTAAAAATATAGACAACAAAAAAATATAGAGCTCTACAAACTATCCACTTTCTTCAGAAAACTTCTAAGATAATATAATTCTAGGATCATTCGCAAACAAGTTTCTGATCCCACGAAACCCAGTTAAAGACAAAAACGATGCGAAAGAGAGCAATTGCAGGCGAATTACGTACACAATTCCGAGCAAGATCCAAGCTAAGAAATTGCCCAATTTCATAGAAGTATTAGCACCAAAGTATCACAGACAAGACTAAGAAACAAAATAAATAAAGTCGCGAACCTACTTCACATGAATGAAACTACAAGGAGAGTCCAAAAATGATCCCCACACGAAACCCATAAGGACTTTATCAAAATTTGAAGAGCCGTAGAGGCTTGTTCAGCCTGAAAACTAAAAGCTCATTTCAAGGCATCCTATGAACAAAATTATAGAGGCCAATTCAATAGAAACCAAAACATTAAAAAGAAAAAAAATCACAGAAAATCGAAAGAAACTACCGGAAAAAAAACTAAATTCGGAACCTCCGTCGGTCTCAAAATCTGTAAGCAACCGTACAAAAGGAAAGAACTTTAACCCAAAATCGGAAATGAATACCCATTTTAAACTCGCCATCCATTAGCATTACTGAAGAGCAACAAAGCAAGGCAAAACGAGCTGCAGCACCTACCTCAAAGAAGCCCTAGAAGCTGAGAAATAGCTCCCGCGCCCGTGGTGCCCCGGGGATCAGAAATGGAGAGAAAAATATCAAGCTTGCCCTTCCTTCCGCTTTATAATTGTATTACAGTGAAAATAAAATAAAATAAAATAAACGCGGAAATTACAGTGAAAATAAAATAAGATTAAAAGATAAATAATAGTAATTATAAATAGTAAATATAATAATAAATACAATAAAATTTATATATTAGTAGAATGCGTGGGGTGGAGCAGAGAGAGATAGAGGGCGCTGGGCAAGGACCGGGGAATTCTGCCGTATTGGAATCGTCTTGGCGTCCGTTGACGCCATTGCTTGCTGCTTCTGAGGCTCTGCAAATGTTTCTCATACTAATAATTTTATTTTCTATTAATATATAAAAAAAAATGAAGAAAAATAAAGGACGTTACATAAAATTACGGAAAAGCCACTGGGCAGCCCATTTTGACTATAATCAAACCTAATGCGGCAAGCAAAATGTTAATCCCAATTTAGCAACAGATTATCCGTTTCTTTTCTTTTCTTTTCTTATTTTTTGACATGGTCAGAATGATCCACACGGGATTCCAGATAAGAGATTCCAATTTACTGTTGCGATGATTATGCGTTGATTATTTATCCATATTCCTGCTAAAATAAGACAAATAGACAATAAATTTTTGCAACAAAAAACTTTTGTTCAACCTACATAATAAAAAAAAAGGGGTGCATTTACATTCATATCATACCAGTCTTTGTCTATTTCCATGTCTAGCACCTAATAAATCATAGTTCATGCATAACACTCAAATCTTAAATATTACATAAAAAATAATATTATTATTAATTTTTACAAGTAAAATATGCATTTCTTATGTATATTTATGAATCAAAGTGTGATAATTATACATATAAATTTTAGATATTAAATATACATAATTATAGCTATAAACATAAATAGAAATCACTCGAAAGCAAATAAAGCCACAATCCTTCTTTATATCTATGTCTCAATCGCTTGTCTATACTGCTTTTATAAAATGAGGGTTAATACTTCTATCAATCATGGTTCTGAATGATTACAATTAAATAAAATTTGACCAGAGTTCATGAATTTAATAACAATTTGAATTTCATAATGATTGTATTTTGAAGAGAAAATATGAAAAATTGAACAAAAATGCATCCAAAATGAAGCTGTGAATCTGATCAAACGAAGAGAACATAATCGAAATCGAAGTCATGAAGAGAGCCGAAACACTTGAAGCCTTAAAGGTGATGAAATTATGTGCCTCATTAACACAGTAACCCTTATAAACAAATCAAATTTGTTTCATTAGCGTACGTAAAAAATGTGTCAGCAAGGATCTTATCGAAATCTGACGACCGGTAGAGGAAATGACATGGCATCCTGAGACTCGTGATGCGCCCTTAGCGTGTGTTGTTTTGTGTGTGTTTTATGTCAATTCAAATTTCCTGAGACGGTGCCAAAAACTTGACCCGACCCGTAATTATGCAGTAATTTAGTTTTTAAAAGACGACAATAAACTTGACCCAATTTATATTTAGCGGCTAATATGCAAAATTGAAATGTTATAAAATATAGAAAATAATTCACACTATGTGTTCTACGCAAGTACACGTATCGCTTCAAGTAATATAGGATTTTCTTTAAAAATCTCAGTATGGATCCCACGAAGAAGCGAGTTAAGAGGTCCTTAGTCAAATTCTAGTCTACTACTATTTGTCTTCAGTTTGGAAAATCGATTTAAGTGGTTTTTCTAACAAGTACTCCTAAATGTAAGTCTTAAGTTTAAAACAACTAAAAATTATTTTTGAATAAAAATATTAATTCTAAAGATAGCCCTGTTTGGATGAATTAGTTTAGAGAATTTTAAGATGTTAAAAACTGCTCTTCTTATATCGCGAATTGGATAATGTAAATGAATGAGATACATTAAATATTGTATGTGTCAAATAAGAGCAACTTTAATTCTCTACCTTGATTCAGTGTTATAGAAACTCATTGGCTAATCTCAGGTTTAGTCCCTAAATCTGTGGTTAGGCTGGGAGGATACTGGCTCTCACTCCAAAGCTCCCACTTCCCTTTTCGTGAAGGCTAATGCTCGCTTTAGTTCTTAAACTCTACGACAAAATTGGGGATTTTAGTCTGTCACCCTAAAATCTTCAATTCTACGCCCAACAATATATATATTTCCCTATTTATTTGCACTCAACCCCCATGAACTTCACCATTCATTAAATTTGAATGCGGTTCCACTTTGTTGAGAATTACACCGCCCTCTCGGGTCTTAATGCAATTACAATGACTTTTAACACTACAACGGACTCTTATTGTAATGTAAATGAAGTGCAAGTAAAAACTCATCACATTTATAATTAGAACTTCTTCAAGTATGCATCCCAATATCCTAAACATAAATCCTACTCATTGCAAAAGAAAAGTAAAAGGAAAATAACATTATAATTTTCTCATGTCACTATTTCCAAAAAAAGAAAAAGAGTAAGAGAAACACATAACAAAGTACGAAGAAAAGCACTAGATAAGTGTTTACAAATTATAAGATAATGAAGAACACGATACTTAGCTTTTTTCCTTTGAAAGAAAGATGAAAATCTCTCCCACAAAGTCTCTCATTGATTCATGCAATGCTAGAACATTCCCCTGCATATTCTCTCAAAATCTCACTAATCTCTCCAAAAAGGTAGAAATCTACATTTCTACTCATATTCTAAGATCTTTAAACATTCTCCACATTTTTTCACTCACACACACCACTTTTTCTAACATAAAAGCACTTTATTATAGTGTAGGGATGAATTTCCCAATAGATGCCTCAAGTGACCTTCCAAAAAATGTCCAAATACATTGAATCTTCTAGAAATTTGCCCAGGAACTCATCCAAACTGTCTTGGGAGTTGTCAGCTCTATTTTGGGCTCTGTCAGCGCCACTCTCACGTCACTCTCTGCACTTTGGCGCCGTCGGTGCCGGTTCTAGCACCGTCGGTGCCTGTTCTGGCGCCGTTGGCGCCTGTTTTGGCACCTTCGGCGCTCACTCTACACAGTTCTACCATTTTGCTTCGTTTGACTCCGTTTTAGCTCCGTTTCACCCGTTTCAGTTGCATTGTGTTCCTAACAGATAGACATACAAAATAAACATAAAAAACCTTCCTTTAAAGTGTAATTTCATTTAAAAATATGTGAGAAGTGTAAAAGAGATTAAACATAGAAAGACATATCAAAATGTGCTAGGATAAAATGTGTCAGGACAAAATTTTCTTTCTTGCTCGTTTTTTCTCCAAATTGCACCGTTTTTGCTTCTTTTTCTCCAAAACTCCATTTCTTGTCCCTAAAACAAAAAATATACAAAATACCTTCATTTAAAGTGTAATATAATTAAGAATCATTGAAATTGAGCATAAAATATACATGAAAAAGTAGTCATTTTTTAGGCGTATCAAAATCTCCCAAACTTAATTGTTATTTTTCCTCAACTAACACATTTACTACATAAAAGTTATGACTAATGGTAGAAGTTTAACTTCTAAATTTCTATAATTTGATTTACTAAATATAACAACACAACTTAAGAAAATTTTTTAACAACTTAAGTCAATACTAAAAGTATAAAAATATCTAGTAGTCAAGTCTAAGATTTTTTATTCTCTATTGATTTCAAGAAAAAATACAATTTGTCATATTAAAGTCACTTATAATATCCATATGAAAAAGAACTTCATGAGAACTTTATTAATAAGGATACTAAAACTCAAATGCAAGTTAAAAAAAATGTAATAAAGTCTTCTTCCTCAAGTTGATTCAAGTGAAGCCAATTTTTGATTAGGCATCTCCTTAAGCTTCTCATCACATACTTTTATTTTCTTTTTCTTTTATATTTTTTAGGATCATTTTTTAATCATTTCTTCTTTTTTTTATATGAGGATTACGATATCTGGATTGTCTTTAATGATTTTGAACTTCACTATCCTCTTCTTAAAGTTAATATTTTTCACATTCCTTCACTTTATAAATTCATATTAGCTTTGAAAATTTTTCATAAAGCCTCATTCTTTTCTTCTTACATGAAACTCTAAGATTCTTAATATTTCAAAAATACAATTTCCTTTACTTTAAATAGAAAAAGCATAATCTTATTCTTTCGTACCAAATATCTTAACTCTAGAATCAACTTTCATTATTGAAAACTTTTACTTAAGTCTACTATATATTTAGAAACACAAATATAGTTATCAAAAGTTAGCCTCTAATACCAAAGGTCATGTTAAATTAAATTTTTAAAATATAGCTAATTGAGGACAAATAAAATTTAGTTTCACTTTTTAAAAAAAATTTTCTTCCCCCCAAACTTAAATTTTTAAAATATTTTGCAATTAATTCCATAAAATGTAGCAGGAAGAAAAAGTACAAGTTGAATCTACTTACTACTACAACATCCTATCAAATTCATATACATGCATAATCATGATAGAATGACTGCAGGAGAAAGTAAATCTAGCCTAAAATATGCTTGTAATAATTTTAAACTAAAAGGAAGTATACTCAATTTAAAATTTTATTTCTCTTCTTACCCTAAACTAGATTTTTAATATGTATAGAATTTAGTACAGAAAATATAAGTAGGAAGAAAAATAGTTTAGAAATTCTATCTACCAAAAATATCTATCAAAAGCATCTACAATTTTTATCAGGATAGAAAGCATGCAGTAGAAAGTAAATCTAAAATAAACATGCCAGAATGAAACTAACTAAACAAAAATCTAACTAGAATAACATGTATCTGCATTGGAATATAAAAAATGTTCTTCAAGTTTTATAAAATTGTAACACAAACACAAACAAACCAACAAGATACATGAGGTCAATTCTTCCTCCATCTCATGGCATCTCATTCACTTACTTCCAATTTCTAATGGAATCAATACACAGATAAATAAGGTACATTTTAAATGATTTTATAGAGTATAATCCCAAAGATAAGATTATCCCTGATATATTGGATCCTTTTAATTAAGCACCTCTAACAGTTATAAGGAT